TAAATCTATTTTTATATGTAACTTAAATACATTTTTAAACAAATAGTAAAGTTTTTGACGATCAGTTTTTGCAGCTTTTTTAAGCAACCAACGCCATTGTGCTTGTAATACATGAAAATAACATAATAACATTGTTGCTGTTGGCCATACAGAACTTAGTGCATTTTTTTCTTCACTTGAGTCATCCAGCATAAAAACTTGGGGCTCCTACAAAAAATAGTTAAAATACAATGTAAAACATTTAACTAATAGAAATTCCGATTTAAATTAGGTATTGTGGCACTTGTAAACATATAAGTTTAAAACCTTATCTAGATCTTTATATGTTTAAAGTTCAGCCCTTATGTAGATCAGTGTTTTGATAAAGTTCAGAAAACCTTTAGCCAAAATATATTTTCAAGAGTTATTGAAATGCTGCTTAGTTAATTAGGAATTGCTGTTTAGTTAATTAGGAAAGAGCTTGCATTTGATTTTGAAGTGATCATCCATGTTATATTTTAAAAACTCGGAAAACAGTGCATAAAACATCCGGTATATATTTTCCTAATTTTCCTTCTAACTTAGCTTTTAATGTGTGACAACTTTAAATCCAGACAAATTTAACAAAAGAATGTCTTGTCTAACGGAGTTATCAATCTTATTAATTTAGAAAGCATAATAACAGGTGAGGTTATCAAATTATAAAACATTGTTAGACATATCAAAGTTTGTCAGGATTTTTTGTTGTCTCATCTTAGCTGGTGGGTTTCTTCATTTTTCTGAAATTTTTCTTAATTTTTGTATGGATTTTCTTAATTTTTGTGTGAGTGATGACTGCAAAAGTTAATAAACAAATATATTACAAAAATTTATACTTTAAATTAAAACATTTTGGAAATCCAAAAAAACTAAAACTTGAGAAAAATATCCGGAATTTTAGAAATAACCCGAAAAAGGTAATTCCTGACTTTGTAATACAAAGATATCAAATTGTATATAAAAAAGAAGGTATATATGTTAACCATTTCATGTATAGAGATAAAAGAAAAAAAGATAAAGTTAGGCTATTATATTATATTATTATATTATACATATGCATACATAGAATATACTTATAAAACTTTAAATTACCTCAGATCCTCCAAAACATCTTGGGCATTCTAATTTAAGAAGTTTGAATGCTTGCTCATAATTCTCTTCAGTTTTATTAGCATGAAATAGAATAGCAATAGGGATACATCCTGCGGAACTTGATGTAGACACAATTGTAACATTTGTTTGTGAGATATCACAAGATGAGGTAGTATCTACAAACACAATTTCGGAAGAAGATTTTCTTAGTTGATTCCTTTGCATCACTTCAGTGACCACTAATACAGACCATTTCAGATCTTCTTCAATAACTGTCACCAACGCTCCTAAATTAAAAAACACTGAAAACTGCCAAAAAATCCGGCAAGATATAAACCACCAATTGATAAAACGATATGGGCCAGTTCATTATACCTTAGCCAGTGGCCTGTGGGACACCAAAAAATAAAAAAAATTATAAAAAATAGCGAATAAGTGAAGTTAGCTGAAGAACTTTTCTATTAACCAACAAGGTCTTACAGGTTACTTTACTGATTAGCTATTACTATCAGCAATACATGGGAAAATTACAGAAAGCTTGTTACATAAAAGAACTCAAATGTGTCTATAAACATATTATTCATTTTCCAAAATGCCCAACTAAAATGGCAGCATTTTTTAATAACCCTATTTTCTTACCTATATGAGTTAAATGTATTATTTAACTCATATAGGTAAGAAAAATTTAAAATGTAAAATTTATTGGAAAACAATGCCCCTCTAACCTGCCTGCTAACATTGAAGGGGTGAACTTGATTTTGTCATTTAATAATAATAAAAAAGATATGGTTGGTTGCCCCCTCCCTGATCTAGTCTTTATGGCTTTTTGCAAATGTATCTATTTAGGTGCTTCTAGCACAAAATAACTGTTTTTTAATACTTTTCTGTTAAAAGAACTTTGTTATTGCTTTTTTTTCAGTTTTATTCATTATATTACCTTTTATTTGTTGGATCTACTCTATACACAAAATTATATAGGAGAAATAGCTTAAATAAATGTCCCACAAAATTTTCTTTAAATTGGTTGAAATATAACGAGCTTACACATATCTGACTTTGTTATATATTTTTTTGTAATATATAAAAATACATGTCAACTCAAAGTAGAATTTGGCAGCAAACCTTCTCAATATAAACTAGGTTTTTTATTTATCATTTATCAATCTTATTTTCAAAATAAATCATTTAAATAAATTATTTTAAAATAAACTGATTATTGTTGTTAATCTCATTTTTACCTGATTCTAAGTATACATTTCTTTTATTCTTTAACATCTCTAAAGGATTTTTAAGAGCAAAATGTTTTTCTTGCCATAAATTGTATAAATAATAAATTGTACGTGATGAAGGATTAAGTGAGGCATCTGCCAAAAGAAAGGAGCCATTTTCATGATAAATAAATTTATCTGTGTGTATACGTTTTGCTTGAGCTGGACTTAATCCACTGTTAAAATAGTTATAAAAAAGTTTTTTTGTAACTGATGACACTGGTAAGTATTTCATCGAATCTGCACATTCAATGTTATGGTTATGGTTTTTATGAACTACTATAACTCCACTAAGGGGAGGTTCTTCTTTTAGATATTGATCATTTTTCTTAGTATTTGCATTTACTTTTTTGATTTTGATATCAATTTCAGCTACACAGTATGTGTTTTTCCTTGATTTAATTTCTTTATTTAGTTTTGAATGTTGACATTGATATTTTCTATGTGCCACAAGCCTAAATAAAATACATTTGCAAGATATATATACACTTACTGTTAGTTAATGCTTATATTATTATTTATTAGCCCTCAAGACCTATAAGACCTGACTCACTATTGATTGTGATATGAAAAAAATATATAATAGCTTAGTAAAGAAGCTAAGGGGGTTCCTTACAGACAAAGAAAAGAAAATACAAAAACTAGCAATAACATAATAATACAAATAACAACAATACATACCCATTTCGTAATATTACCAAAAAAAAAATTTATTCTAACCCTAACTGTGTTGCTAACCCTAAATTTTTCTTAAACTGTTAGCTATTGATCGATAAATTAAATTTCAAATCATAAAAATTTACTAAATTAAGATAATATCTTAACATTAAACAAACTAAACTTGTGATATAGGCTAGAACACCAAGGCAAATCTAAAGAAATGAAACAACAATAATAAAAAGTAGACATGCTTATAAGATAATACCACCATTTTGGGATGATGATGGTAAAACTTAAGGAATGAAATGATAAAAATGGAGAAAAATATAAAAATTTAAATTTGCAAACAAAATAAAAACTAATACAAAATACATAATCCTTATATAACTAAAAATATTTAAAAAATTTTATTTAAATAGCTTCAATTTATTTTAATCAAACCTTGTTTGTATTAAAGAAAGCCAAATAACCCTAAATCACTTTATTCAAATAAACCCCAAATCACTTTATTTAAAACCACAAACATTTAAAAGTTTATTTTCTGAGGTAACAAGGAAACATTGCTTTAACAAACTTATTATATGCCAATGTTATATTTCAAGACATTGTGTTAAATAGTCATGACAAATTTAAAACATCAGCAAATGACTTATAATGGTCGGTACTTATAATAGTATAACAAAATAGAAAAAATGATACCAGAAAACAAAATATCTCTTACTTCAATCAAGTAGAAATCCAATTATTTCCTGTTGACTAATGATTAATAAAGTAAATTTTAAATCATAAAAATTTACATAATTAAACCATGTTCCAACAGTAGAAAAACCAAAATTACAGAACTAAAAAAATGAAATAAAAAAATAACAATAATGGGTATAATACATCATTGTTTGTGTGAAATTTTTAAAATGATGTTCCTTGAAATGAATGTTATTTAAATTTAAAAAACAATATATTAAACTACCTTGAACACAGGACATAAAATTTGCCATGTAAGAAGCACATTTTTTTTTGAGATAAACATTATCAACTGTTTAATCTTGAATTTAATTTATGGTCATTAAGTGTGCTAAACTGACAACATTTTAGCGTAAAGTTTGCTCAACTGTAACCAAGGAATAAATACCCTTATACAACTTGTAGTATGTGCGTGTTTAAATTATATATATATATATATATATATATATATATATATATATATATATATATATATATATATATATATATATATATATATACATATATATATATATATATATATATTAAATATATATAAATTATGTTAGTGTATTCTACAAGAGAGCTCAACGTTGTTAAAGAACAGAGTAAAAATAAATAAGTAAAAACACTTATCTAATTTTTTTTTTCCTTATATATATATTAATATATATATTTAATATATATATCTATGATATTTATATTAAATATATGTATCATATTTCGTGGTAAAAGATAAAATTGGTTAAAAATCCAACCTTGTAGGTTCATTCAGCTTGTATGACTTTAGCCATCTAGTGTGCGTTTTATGTCCATATTCTTCTACCCATTGGTTCGCTTCATCTTCTGATTTAATTGATGCTCGCAATTGAATAACATTTTTATCTTCAAAAATTAACTTTGAATTAAATAAAATAGGGAATGTTGAATTCATTTTTTTTAGAATCACTACCGCTGTTGTTATTAAGCAAGGTTTATTAATTTTTTTATTGCGCGAAAGTTTAAATTCCAATTTTGCAGATTTGCCTCTCTTTCAAAATAAGCGAATCAGATTGGCCAGTTTTGATGGCTATTCTGTACTTATAGTGGGTTTGTAAAGTCGCAAACGGGTAGCGACTTTACAAACCCACTATAAGTACAGAATAGCCATCAAAACTGGCCAATCTGATTCGCTTATTTTGAAAGAGAGGCAAATCTGCAAAATTGGAATTTAAACTTTCGCGCAATAAAAAAATTAATAAACCTTGCTTAATAACAACAGCGGTAGTGATTCTAAAAAAAATGAATTCAACATTCCCTATTTTATTTAATTCAAAGTTAATTTTTGAAGATAAAAATGTTATTCAATTGCGAGCATCAATTAAATCAGAAGATGAAGCGAACCAATGGGTAGAAGAATATGGACATAAAACGCACACTAGATGGCTAAAGTCATACAAGCTGAATGAACCTACAAGGTTGGATTTTTAACCAATTTTATCTTTTACCACGAAATATGATACATATATTTAATATAAATATCATAGATATATATATTAAATATATATATTAATATATATATAAGGAAAAAAAAAATTAGATAAGTGTTTTTACTTATTTATTTTTACTCTGTTCTTTAACAACGTTGAGCTCTCTTGTAGAATACACTAACATAATTTATATATATTTAATATATATATATATATATATATATGTATATATATATATATATATATATATATATATATATATATATATATATATATATATATATATATATATATATATATAATTTAAACACGCACATACTACAAGTTGTATAAGGGTATTTATTCCTTGGTTACAGTTGAGCAAACTTTACGCTAAAATGTTGTCAGTTTAGCACACTTAATGACCATAAATTAAATTCAAGATTAAACAGTTGATAATGTTTATCTCAAAAAAAAATGTGCTTCTTACATGGCAAATTTTATGTCCTGTGTTCAAGGTAGTTTAATATATTGTTTTTTAAATTTAAATAACATTCATTTCAAGGAACATCATTTTAAAAATTTCACACAAACAATGATGTATTATACCCATTATTGTTATTTTTTTATTTCATTTTTTTAGTTCTGTAATTTTGGTTTTTCTACTGTTGGAACATGGTTTAATTATGTAAATTTTTATGATTTAAAATTTACTTTATTAATCATTAGTCAACAGGAAATAATTGGATTTCTACTTGATTGAAGTAAGAGATATTTTGTTTTCTGGTATCATTTTTTCTATTTTGTTATACTATTATAAGTACCGACCATTATAAGTCATTTGCTGATGTTTTAAATTTGTCATGACTATTTAACACAATGTCTTGAAATATAACATTGGCATATAATAAGTTTGTTAAAGCAATGTTTCCTTGTTACCTCAGAAAATAAACTTTTAAATGTTTGTGGTTTTAAATAAAGTGATTTGGGGTTTATTTGAATAAAGTGATTTAGGGTTATTTGGCTTTCTTTAATACAAACAAGGTTTGATTAAAATAAATTGAAGCTATTTAAATAAAATTTTTTAAATATTTTTAGTTATATAAGGATTATGTATTTTGTATTAGTTTTTATTTTGTTTGCAAATTTAAATTTTTATATTTTTCTCCATTTTTATCATTTCATTCCTTAAGTTTTACCATCATCATCCCAAAATGGTGGTATTATCTTATAAGCATGTCTACTTTTTATTATTGTTGTTTCATTTCTTTAGATTTGCCTTGGTGTTCTAGCCTATATCACAAGTTTAGTTTGTTTAATGTTAAGATATTATCTTAATTTAGTAAATTTTTATGATTTGAAATTTAATTTATCGATCAATAGCTAACAGTTTAAGAAAAATTTAGGGTTAGCAACACAGTTAGGGTTAGAATAAATTTTTTTTTTGGTAATATTACGAAATGGGTATGTATTGTTGTTATTTGTATTATTATGTTATTGCTAGTTTTTGTATTTTCTTTTCTTTGTCTGTAAGGAACCCCCTTAGCTTCTTTACTAAGCTATTATATATTTTTTTCATATCACAATCAATAGTGAGTCAGGTCTTATAGGTCTTGAGGGCTAATAAATAATAATATAAGCATTAACTAACAGTAAGTGTATATATATCTTGCAAATGTATTTTATTTAGGCTTGTGGCACATAGAAAATATCAATGTCAACATTCAAAACTAAATAAAGAAATTAAATCAAGGAAAAACACATACTGTGTAGCTGAAATTGATATCAAAATCAAAAAAGTAAATGCAAATACTAAGAAAAATGATCAATATCTAAAAGAAGAACCTCCCCTTAGTGGAGTTATAGTAGTTCATAAAAACCATAACCATAACATTGAATGTGCAGATTCGATGAAATACTTACCAGTGTCATCAGTTACAAAAAAACTTTTTTATAACTATTTTAACAGTGGATTAAGTCCAGCTCAAGCAAAACGTATACACACAGATAAATTTATTTATCATGAAAATGGCTCCTTTCTTTTGGCAGATGCCTCACTTAATCCTTCATCACGTACAATTTATTATTTATACAATTTATGGCAAGAAAAACATTTTGCTCTTAAAAATCCTTTAGAGATGTTAAAGAATAAAAGAAATGTATACTTAGAATCAGGTAAAAATGAGATTAACAACAATAATCAGTTTATTTTAAAATAATTTATTTAAATGATTTATTTTGAAAATAAGATTGATAAATGATAAATAAAAAACCTAGTTTATATTGAGAAGGTTTGCTGCCAAATTCTACTTTGAGTTGACATGTATTTTTATATATTACAAAAAAATATATAACAAAGTCAGATATGTGTAAGCTCGTTATATTTCAACCAATTTAAAGAAAATTTTGTGGGACATTTATTTAAGCTATTTCTCCTATATAATTTTGTGTATAGAGTAGATCCAACAAATAAAAGGTAATATAATGAATAAAACTGAAAAAAAAGCAATAACAAAGTTCTTTTAACAGAAAAGTATTAAAAAACAGTTATTTTGTGCTAGAAGCACCTAAATAGATACATTTGCAAAAAGCCATAAAGACTAGATCAGGGAGGGGGCAACCAACCATATCTTTTTTATTATTATTAAATGACAAAATCAAGTTCACCCCTTCAATGTTAGCAGGCAGGTTAGAGGGGCATTGTTTTCCAATAAATTTTACATTTTAAATTTTTCTTACCTATATGAGTTAAATAATACATTTAACTCATATAGGTAAGAAAATAGGGTTATTAAAAAATGCTGCCATTTTAGTTGGGCATTTTGGAAAATGAATAATATGTTTATAGACACATTTGAGTTCTTTTATGTAACAAGCTTTCTGTAATTTTCCCATGTATTGCTGATAGTAATAGCTAATCAGTAAAGTAACCTGTAAGACCTTGTTGGTTAATAGAAAAGTTCTTCAGCTAACTTCACTTATTCGCTATTTTTTATAATTTTTTTTATTTTTTGGTGTCCCACAGGCCACTGGCTAAGGTATAATGAACTGGCCCATATCGTTTTATCAATTGGTGGTTTATATCTTGCCGGATTTTTTGGCAGTTTTCAGTGTTTTTTAATTTAGGAGCGTTGGTGACAGTTATTGAAGAAGATCTGAAATGGTCTGTATTAGTGGTCACTGAAGTGATGCAAAGGAATCAACTAAGAAAATCTTCTTCCGAAATTGTGTTTGTAGATACTACCTCATCTTGTGATATCTCACAAACAAATGTTACAATTGTGTCTACATCAAGTTCCGCAGGATGTATCCCTATTGCTATTCTATTTCATGCTAATAAAACTGAAGAGAATTATGAGCAAGCATTCAAACTTCTTAAATTAGAATGCCCAAGATGTTTTGGAGGATCTGAGGTAATTTAAAGTTTTATAAGTATATTCTATGTATGCATATGTATAATATAATAATATAATATAATAGCCTAACTTTATCTTTTTTTCTTTTATCTCTATACATGAAATGGTTAACATATATACCTTCTTTTTTATATACAATTTGATATCTTTGTATTACAAAGTCAGGAATTACCTTTTTCGGGTTATTTCTAAAATTCCGGATATTTTTCTCAAGTTTTAGTTTTTTTGGATTTCCAAAATGTTTTAATTTAAAGTATAAATTTTTGTAATATATTTGTTTATTAACTTTTGCAGTCATCACTCACACAAAAATTAAGAAAATCCATACAAAAATTAAGAAAAATTTCAGAAAAATGAAGAAACCCACCAGCTAAGATGAGACAACAAAAAATCCTGACAAACTTTGATATGTCTAACAATGTTTTATAATTTGATAACCTCACCTGTTATTATGCTTTCTAAATTAATAAGATTGATAACTCCGTTAGACAAGACATTCTTTTGTTAAATTTGTCTGGATTTAAAGTTGTCACACATTAAAAGCTAAGTTAGAAGGAAAATTAGGAAAATATATACCGGATGTTTTATGCACTGTTTTCCGAGTTTTTAAAATATAACATGGATGATCACTTCAAAATCAAATGCAAGCTCTTTCCTAATTAACTAAACAGCAATTCCTAATTAACTAAGCAGCATTTCAATAACTCTTGAAAATATATTTTGGCTAAAGGTTTTCTGAACTTTATCAAAACACTGATCTACATAAGGGCTGAACTTTAAACATATAAAGATCTAGATAAGGTTTTAAACTTATATGTTTACAAGTGCCACAATACCTAATTTAAATCGGAATTTCTATTAGTTAAATGTTTTACATTGTATTTTAACTATTTTTTGTAGGAGCCCCAAGTTTTTATGCTGGATGACTCAAGTGAAGAAAAAAATGCACTAAGTTCTGTATGGCCAACAGCAACAATGTTATTATGTTATTTTCATGTATTACAAGCACAATGGCGTTGGTTGCTTAAAAAAGCTGCAAAAACTGATCGTCAAAAACTTTACTATTTGTTTAAAAATGTATTTAAGTTACATATAAAAATAGATTTATAACCACTTAATTATATAGTAATTCTTAATTCGTTTACTATTTTTTGAAATGAAAGTTATTTATATGGAATTTCAAGTGCAATTATCTACAAGTTTGTTTTCTAGATTATGTATGCTGATACAAGCGAAAAACTTGACTTATCGTTGCACCAATTAAAAAGCATAAAATTAACGCACCCAAAGTTTTATATTAGGGTTAAAAAGTACTATAACAAGAGAAAGTTTGAATTTGTCATGTTATAAAGAAAAGACTTAATTATTCGAAACCACAATACAAATAATTTTAGTGAAGCAACAATAAGAATCCTTAAAGATATTGTTTTATGTAGAACAAAAGCATTCAATGTTGCAGCACTTGTAGACTATACTGTCAATGTTTGGGACAGATATTATAGCAACCGTCTTCTGAATACTGCATATAATCGTTGCTCTGCCTATGAAATATTCTACAACAAATTATGTCAAAAATCTGAAAAAATAAACATTAGTTCTATTAAATTGTTGGAGAGGAACACTTACATTGTACCTAGTTTTAAAAATTCAAATGTCGAATATACAGTCAATAGTGACGTTGGCTACTGTTCATGTCCTAGTGGTAGGCAAGGTGGATTCTGTAAACACATGGCTGCAATACATAAATTATTTAAAATTAATTTTCCGTGCGCTCCACCTATTACATCGAAAGACAGATACGAACTTGGGAAGCTTGCACTTGGATCGAAGTGCCCTGAACCAGATTTTTTTTTAAGTTTGAGAGATATAGATCAAAGCGAAATTGAAATATCTTCTAATATTTTAGGTTTGTAATTGAATTGTAAAGGCAAATAAAGTAGTTGCATCGATATAAGCCCACTTTGTTTCATCTGAAAATATTTTTGTTTATTAGAACACACACACACACACACACACACACACACACACACACACACACGCACGCACGCACGCACGCACGCACATAAGTATGTATGTATGTATGTATGTATGTATGTATGTAAAATTATTATTATTCGATACGGGTCTTTTTTGGTCCAACTACCTTGATATCTGCAATTAGTTTTAATTTTTTGTAATTTATATTGAATACATACATGATTTTATAATATAATAATTTTATAACATGGTTTACATTTATTAAATTAACATTAAATTGTTATTTTCGCAGTTGAAACTCAAGAAAACTGTTTGATCTCTGGCGATGCAAATAACGAAGATATTTTGTCACTGAAAAAAAAAACCAATCGGAATCTTTAAATACAGATTGTGAAGAATTTATATTTGAATTTAAAAAGTTATTAGATTTAGCTAAAATCGATCCCAATTCTAAAAAAATTATTAATAGTTTAAAGCTTAGACTGAAAAGTGTCAATACCACCGAAAGCGCTTTAGCAACTCTGTTTTCATTAAAAACAGCATTATGCTCAAAAAAAAAATTCGGACAAATTAAAACGCAACCGACTGCTGCTGCGAGACGAAGAGAAGGTCTGACACGTGGTAGTAGACCAGTGCCGATGGGAAGACCAACTAAAGTTGAAGTTTTGAAACGGAAAGTTAAGCGACAAAGAAATATCAGTCTAGCTGTTGAACAAAATTTTGCTAATGCTCAAAGTCATTAACGTATTTTTTTAGCAGTCTTAAAAGTATTGTTATATAATTTATATTTTATTCGAATATACTTGAGTATTTTTGCGCTAACCTTTTTGGAAAAATTTGACATGGTATTTCATTATTCTTTCACTGTAATTTAAGACAAACTCGTTTAATGATTCAATACGATACTGATTTATCATACAAATAATAATGAAACTATACAAGACAATTATATTGCACATTAAATAAAATAGTAAGCAACGGAGTCCAATTTTTAATAAATAAATACAAAATCTATTAACAATTTTAAATAAATAAACACAAACTAATGAGCAAAAAGTAAACAAAATCGAACTATTTTTCTTTATTTTTATGTTTAACGCCGAATATTTTTCTTATATTCCAATTTTGCGGATTTGCCTCTCTTTCAAAATAAGCGAATCAGATTGGCCAATTTTAATGGCTATTCTGTGCTTATAGTGGGTTTGTAAAGTCGCAAACGGGTATGTATTTGAGTTATTAGTATTTCTATTAACAACTTAGAACTTAAGCTTCTTTAATACCTAAAAGTAGTTAATTTTAGATTAGAAACTGAGTCAGAGGTTCGTTTTAAAAAAATATACATGTTCAAAAAGCGTCAAAAATTTGCATTTACGCCATAGTCAAATCACAGCGGAATTTGTATGAAAGTGCGCTATCACATGGCCGATCAAATAAAAGATAAAATAAATAAAAAGTAAGTATAAATGCTTAATATAAATTTATAGTTTTATTATTCATATTTACCATTTATACTGTAATTGATTCAATGTACACGAAACTTATATTAGTAATATATTGTGTCTGACATTTCATGTAAAGCACTTCTTGTTACGATTCAAATATAACTATAATTATAGTTACTTTATTTATATAAATAAGGTTGAATTTTGTACATAAGACATTATTTATATACTCTATAGTATATGATTAAAAAAATAATTAAAAAAGGTATAAATGGTATTTACATGAGTTTTTTTAGCCGTTAACCTTCACTTTTTTACATGCTATTCAGACTACATGATGTGGTACATATGTACCACATGAATCGTACAATGTACCACAATGTACATTGTATATAATAACTTTTTTTCTCAACTAGTATAAATCAAATATGCTATTAACTTTATGATTATGTAATATTGAATTTTATTTGTTTATATATCTTTTTTTTAGACACTTTAATGTGTGCACTAATATGCAGTGTTTAAATTTTAATGTTTGCAAAAAAATTAAAAGTTGGTATATATATTTTAATTAATCAAAGTCAATATTATTGTTTATTGAGTTTTAAAACAAAGCTCTATAAGTTAATAACTTTTTTATAATTTGAGTATAATTTATTGTTAAGCTATTTTCGTTATTTCACAAAATTTTAGTTTGATTGAGTGTCAAATAATTAAAAAAAAAAATTTAAATATTATTTGTTTAATTTATTCGTTAATCTTAAAGTAAATAAATCCTTTAATCTAGTGCGTAAAAGAGAAAAATGTCACCCAGAAAATCTTGCAAAGTTCTATATTCAAAGAAAAATTGATCAAGAAGGATTTCTCAAAGTTAAAATTAATGACACTATAGGTAAAAAAGTTTTAAAATCATGTTTTCATCCTTTTAAAATCATGTTTTTATCCTTGTCTAAAGTTGACTTTTATTATGGTACTTAATCTTTTTAAATAATACTTGAACAAAATTTGTTGAATAATGCTATATTTATATTAATACATCATAAATAATTCATTTAATAAAATGTGCACCATTCATTATATGTGTTATAGGTATATAGTATATTATAAGCAGTAAATCGTTAAACCTTGAGGATTTCTTAGTTGGGTTATAAACTTGTTTTAAAAGTTAATTTTTAATTGTTAATTTTTTTAAATTAACTCAAATAGAAATGTCAAAAGAAAATCAAGACAAAGCCTTATGATTTACTTATTTATTATTTATTATTTTTTTTACTTCAGTCTTTAACTTCAGTTGTCTTAAAATTTTTCTATTTGGATGATATATATTATAAAAGTATCTTTAAAAAAATCTAAATTGCACCTCAAGGTTTAGTTTCTTGTTTCTTGTTATATATTGTTTTAAATTTCACATTAAGATTCTTTAGATATAAAAAACATCTGTATAAAAATCTCGATGACTACTTTACGTTTGATTTATTTTTCGTATATATTGTTTTAAAAGTCACCTTAAGTACCTTTTGTTTCACTGAGTTTTACTATAAAAATGTCAATTAAAAAATCTAAAGGTTGCCTTAAGGTTGGTTTTATTGTTTTTTACTGTTTGTTTTAAAATTCACTTTAAGGTAATTTTGTTTGGCTGATTTTTTTTTAAATATTTTTCAAAAGGCTATATGTCACCTTTAGGTTTCCTTTATAAAGGAAACCTAAAGGTGACATATAGCCTTTGAAAGATATTTAAAAGAAAATCAGTTAAACAAAATTACCTGAAGGTGATTTTAATTTAAAGGTGACAATAAATTTATTGGTCCTTGTTAAATATTGTTTTAAATTTTACATAAGGGTTTTAGTTATAAAATAAAGTACTTTTAAAAAAATCTAGATGACACTTCAAGGTTTAGTTTATTTTTCCTTTCTATATATGTTTGAAAATTACCTCTCAGTTCTTTTGTTTTACTGAGTTTACTACAAAAATATGTAATAAAGCAAAATCTATAAGTTGCCTGAAGTTTTGTTTTATTGTTGCTTAATAATTTTGATTTTAAAAATCATGTTAAGTTTTTTTTGAATTACATTTTTAAAATATCTTCAAAAAATCTTTGTCGCCTTAAGGTTTCCTTTATTGTTTTTTATTATATACTGTTTTAAATTTATCTTAAGTTTCTTTATTAATAAGTTAACATATTGCATAAAAAACTAGATGCACCTTAATATTTAGTTTATTCTTCCTTTTTCAATGTTGTTTTGAAAGTCACTTCAAGTTTTTCTTGTTTTTACTGAATTTACTATAAAACTAGCTATATAAAAATCTAGTTGTCACATTAAGTGTTGTTTTAATGTTCAGTTTTATATATTGTATAAAAAGTCACCTTAAGGTTTTTATGTTTGGTTTTTTTTGTTAATAAAATCTAGATGACACCTTAAGGTTTAGTTGATTCTACCTTTTTGTATATTGTTTTGAAATTTACCTTAAGTTTTTTTTTAATAGTGAGTTTTACTATAAAAATATCTGTGAAAGAATCTAGATGTTGCCTTTAGGTTTATTTTCTTTTTCTTTTTTATATTTTGTTCTAAAATTCCCTTTACGGTGGATGTTAATCAAAGTTTTTTTAACATTCACCTTTACCTAAATTTCTGCAAAAATTATTGCTAAACCATTAAATCCTTTAAATGTAATCGAAATTATGTATTATAAATTAAAAAAAAAACTATGAGTAACTTTCATAAATTATTATAAATTTCTTTGTGTACTATTACCATGTAAACCTAATCAATAAAAAGTCGCCTAAAGGTTTTTATGTTTGGCTGAATTACATTTTAAAAATATTCTCAAAAAGTCTATATGTTGCCTTAAGGTTTGTTAGGTAGCTCCTTGTTATTTATTTTAATAAAATTAAAAGTCACCTTAAGGTTTTTTTGTTTTGCTGAATTATATTTTTAAATATCTTAAAAAAAGTCAATATGTCGCCTTAAGGTTTACTTAATTGTTCCTTGTTATACATTGTGAAATTTTTTTATTTTTTTAACTTAGTTTTAAAAGTCACCTTAAGGTTTTTATGTTTGTCTGAACTATATTTTAAAATATCTTTAAAAAGTCTATATGTCACCTTAAAGTTTCCTTAATTATTTCTTGTTATAAATAGTAAATTTTTTTTTGCTTATTTTAAAAGTCACCCTAGGGTTTTTTTGTTTGGCAGAATTATATTTAAAAATATCTTCAAATATTTTATGTCCCTATATGTTTTACTTTATTGTTCCTTGTTATACATTGTTTTAATTTTTACCACAACTTTTTAAAACAAATCTGAATGACACTTTAAGGTTTAGTTTATTTTTCCTTTTTTTACATTGTTTTAAAAGTCATTTCAACATTCTCTTGTTTTTATTGAATTTTACTATAAAACTAGCTATATAAAAATCTAGTTGTCACATTAAGTGTTGTTTTAATGTCCAGTTTTATATATTATATGAAAAGTCACCTTAAGGTTTTTATGTTTGGTTTTTTTATTATATAATGTTTTAGATTTTTTCTCCAGTTATAAAATGAAGTATTTAAGTATATATATATATATATTTATGTCGCCTTAAAGTTTCGCTTTATTTTACCTTGTTATGTATTGTTTTAAACTTTGCTTTTTTCTTTTCTATTTTTAAAAGTTTACTTTGTAATATTCTGAAAAAAATCTAGATGACACCTTAAGGTTCAGTTGATTCTACCTTTTTATATATTGTTTTGAAATTTACCTCAAGTTTTTTTTTAATAGTGAGTTTTACTATAAAAATATCTGTGAAAAAATCTAGATGTTGCCTTTAGGTTTATTTTCTTTTTCTTTTTTATATTTTGTTCTAAAATTTCCTTTACGGTGGATGTTAATCAAAGTTTTGTTAACATTCACCTTAACCTAAATTTCTTCAAAAATTATTGCTAAACCATAAAATCCTTTAAATGAGTAACTTTCATAAATTATTATAAACTGCTTTGTGTACTATTGCCATGTAAACCTAATCAATAAAAAGTCACCTTAAGATTTTTATGTTTGGCTTGATTATATTTTAAAAATATTCTCAAAAAGTCTATATGTTGCCTTAAGGTTTGTTAGGTAGCTCCTTGTTATTTGTTTTAAAAAATTATGTTTTAGTTAGTTTTAAAAGTCACCTTAAGGTTTTTTTGTTTAGCTGAATTATATTTTTAAATATCTCAAAAAAAGTTAATATGTCGCCTAAAGGTTTGCTTAATTGTTCCTTGTTATATATTGTGATTAGTTTTTTTTTTAACTTAGTTTTAAAAGTCACCTTAAGGTTTTTATGTTTGTCTGAATTATATTTTACTTTATTGTTGTTATATATTGTTTTAATTTTTACCTAAATTTAAAAAAAAAATCTGAATGACACTTTAAAGTTTAGTTTATTTTTTCTATTTCAATATTGTTTTAAAAGTCACCTCAAGTTTCTTTTTTTTTAATTGAGTTTCACTATTTAAATATAAAATGTAAAAAAGATAAATGTTGCTATAAAGTTTGTTTAATTGTTCCTTTTTTAAAGTTTTAAAAACTTTCTTAAGATATTTTTGGTTGGCTTAATTTTAATTTTAAAAATATCTGTAAAAAAATTTAAATGTTGACATTATTTTTTTATTTTTTTGTTTTTATTTTTTTTTAAAAAAGTCACAATTTTTTTTGTTTTTTTGTTTGGCTGATTTTAAAAAAATATCTTTTAAAAATCTTTATGTAGCCTTAAGGTTTCCTTTATTGTTCCTTGTTATATATTGTTTTGAATTTTACCTAAAGTTTTTTAGTTATATAATTAAGTATTTTAAAAGTAATCTAGATGTCTCTTTAAGGTTTGGTTTATCCTCCCTTTTTATATATCGTTTAAAAAATTTTTCTGCTTTATTGAGTTTTACTATAAAAATATGTAAATAAAAAAATCTAGTTGCCTTAAGGTTTGCTTTTTTGTTGCTTTCTAAATTTCGTTTTAAAAGCAGGGATTATCTTTTTCCGTATATTTCCTGAAATCCTGATATATTTTTTTTAGTTTTTCCGGATTTTCAAAACATTTTAAATATATGTATTTTTGTAATATATTTGGTTTTTAGGCTTTTTCCTTCATCACTCATAGAAAAAATATAAAAAGTATCCAAAAAAAAATTAAAACAACTTAGCTAAAGGCAAAATTAAAAAGAAAATAAGGGAATATACATTCTGGATTTTTTACGGATATTTTATTCAAACAATTGTCTGGATTTTTAAAATATGAATAGGATGATCTATTTAAAAGTCATGTTAGATTTTATTTTGTTTGTCTGAATTATATTTTTAAATTATTTTTCAAAAGTCTATATTGCCTTATGGTTTGCCTTATTGTTCCTTGTTATATACTGTTTTAAATTTATCTCAAGTTCTTTAGTATCAAAATAACACATTTAGAAGAAAACTACTTGACTTTTGGTTTATTCTTCTTTTTTTCATATTTTTTTAAAAGTCACCTCAAGGTCATATTTCTTCATTTTTTCATAATTTATTTTTTAAAATTTCATAGTTTCATATTTTTTCAAAAGTCACCTCTTGTTTTTACTGAATATAGAAGTATCTTTATTAAAGTTTCCAATTTAAGTGTTCTTTTTAAAATATTGTTTCAAAAGTCACTTTAAGGTTTTATATAATTTACCAGGCTTGGTCGGGAAACAGGTGCGATTCACTTGATAACTGACCACGGAAATAATATTTAGTTGCGAAAAACTGACCAGATTTTTTAGTCGTTTTGAGAACATTCAAATTCACGTATGTTTCCTTGTTTGTCCCCAAAATAATTATTAAGTTATCGTAAATCTTGTATTTCGGACTTACACGGTAACATACATAAACTCAAACTTTGTGCGGAAAAATAAAAAAAAGA